AATCTGGCAGCTGTTCTTTTGCAGACCTGTTTTAACAGGAGGATGCTCAAATTACTTTATTTGCATCCTGCCTTCAAAGAATTTCAATGTTTTGGAGTTTTTTAGGGGGAAAAAAAAATAGTTCAGTATTTTTTCTCTTGTGTATAATTTGATTTGTACTTCACAAGGAATCAGATATTAAGCTCAGTGTGGTTTTGAACATGTATGTGAGGCTGGATTTTCATTATCCTAACACAGTAGCTTCTGTAATATTTATCATGATGACTTATGATAAGTATACAAGGGATTACTCTATAACCTGAAGTTTCCATTGTGCCAGGAACAAGAGGTACTCAATTTTTCCATAATTTGCATCACGGTCTTGTTTTACTAGTGCTACCAAAATTTCCAAGGATGGGGTGGCAGACAGCAGAATCAGGGTGTGTGTAAATCAGTCATGGAAAAAATACAAGGGATTTTCAGACCTGAGGATGATCCAAGCTATGATTCTGCCCAAGTCAGTTCTATTCATATCTAATAGTTTGGCTTAGCTGGTCAGGAATAAAAAGCTGAGAACTTGCGGCACAGCTTCTGCCTTTCTGTTTGGAGTCAGAGAATTGTTTTTATTCATTTCTTCATCTCTTCATCTTCTAAAGAACAAATAAAACCTGATTATTATAGAACTACAGAATCTCAGACTGGTTTGGGCTGGAAGGGACCTTAAAGCTCACCTAGTTAAACAGGGACACCTTCCACTAAAGCAGGTTGCTCCAAGCCCCTGTGTCCAACCTGGCCTTGAACACTGCCAGGGATGGGGCAGCCACAGCTTCTCTGGGCACCCTGTGCCAGCGCCTCAGCACCCTCACAGGGAAGAGCTTCTGCCTAAGAGCTCATCTCAGTCTCCCCTCTGGCAGGTTAAAGCCATGCCCCTTGTCCTAGAATACCAATTGTAATACTATGACTATATAAAGAAGACTAGAAAATCGCCCATTCTCTTTGCAAAGCACACACACACAAAACCCCCACAAAACAAAGCCACAAAGAAACAAGCAACCAAAACCAAGAAAAGAAACCAAACAAAACCCCCAACTCCATCCCATGCCTTTGAATAAACCAACAGCTTGGGTTTCAGGGGGACGACACGTCCCTTAAACACCCCCAGCAAACCGCTGCTGGCGAAGGAGCCGCCACGCAGCAGCGGTGACCCGGACACGCCGGGGGGCAGCCGCCGCCTGCGCACAGCCGGAGCCGCTGCCTCCCCTTGACTTTCGCTTCTGCACGGCGCCAGTGACCTCTGCTCCTGCGGGCACGGCGGACGGCGCTCCGGCTGCAGGGGCACCGCGCACGCCGCGGACCCCTGAGACCTATGGACCATGCTCTACAAGACATGTAAGTGCGTACTGCTGACGAGGAACGCGGGCGAAACAACTGCTCCGAAAAGTCCGAATCTGCAGAAACAGAAGTGCGCAGGCAGGAGGGGCAGCGTCTCCGACGGGAGTGGCCACCCAGTCGCTGCCTTCCCTATGTTTTATCCTTCTAAGAGTCAGTTTTTTCTAAGCGATTAGCTAAAACTTGCTGAAGGGAGCTCGGTGTGTAATCTGAGCTTTTAAGCCATATTTCATTGTATTTTCTTAGACACAAAGAAGGACTTTGTTAAAGGAACTGCATGCACTCTCTGGATTTAATTTGTTGCTGGAGAGATCCAGTCCTCTTCAGCTGTGGGAAAATAAGAAACCATATTGTGATTTAACAACTAACAGAACAAGAAAACAGTACGTGCCTGTGCTGCCGTAGAAGGGTAATATTTACTAAATCAAATCATTCACTCAAGTAAACAAATGGTTCAGCAGGGAGGAAACAGCAATTTGGAGTTTAGCTAACCAGGAAATACGACTGCTGTCCTTTAGAAAAAAATACCCATGGGCAGGACACTCAGCTCAGCCACTAAATTAGGAGAGAGAAATCTGAACTGAATCACGAAGTTCAGAATGGAGCTCTGCCTCCCATCAGCAGGAAGCGGGGGCTTCGTGCAGTCCCGCTCAGTCTGTGGGCAGTTTCAGGCTAGGCACCATTTGCCTCAAAACATGTAAGGGTTTTGGAGTGCTGTGTGAATACGCTCATTGCTTTTACCAGTACCAAGTGTGTGCCCTCTCTAACCAGCCGTGTGCACTGAATGTCACGGATCATTCCATGGGAGGCATTTGGTGGCCCATCTCCAGCCAAGTATGTGCCTCCCCGAGGACGTGCCCCATGTATGCAGATGGATGTTCCTCCTGCTGCCCTTGCAGTGGCAGTGTGACTTCCCTAAGATCTCTCTTTCCAAGGCAAACCAGACAGCAATACAGTCTTGTGTGCCGTGGGCACAAGGAGATAAATTTAACCCCTGACTTTTGTCGTTATCTAAGTCCATAGGACAAAAATATCTCCAGGCAGCGTGGCGCATGGTGCTGCACACCGGCAGCTCTCTGGAATGATTTATTTTCACTTCCATTTCACTTGCCGTGCTCGGAAATGCCATCTGCTAAAAACCATCCAAGATCTGTATTAGAGATTTCAGTCTGTGTCACATTAAGATGACCAGTTTTTCAGTTTTGTGGTTTAGATTCTGGTAGTGAACTTTTCAGAGGAGCACAAATTGCAGTAAATTCACAATGGCATGAAAACAAATCCCCAGCATGCCATACTGCTTCTCAGTACTAGGCAACACCTCGTGCTGCACTGTTTTAATATACAGATGAAATAGTCTTAAAAATGTATGATAAAAGGAGTTATAAAATGGCAGTTTCCTTTCCACAAGGTGCCTGTTTCTGTTACTACAGTACATTGCCAAAAATCACACTGATACAGGCATGATCAAGATTTCCATGTGCAATAAAAATAATTGAAAGATCTATTTTCATGCTGTTTGGAAGATCTGGATTCCTGAGGGTAAATGGAATAAACTCAGGATGTTTATTCATCTTCCCAAGGACACACACCATAAATGTCACAGCATTTGACAATACTAAAAATGTTGCTATGCATTTTTTACCCATTTTCTTACACTTTTCTAGACATAAAAAAACTGCTTCCATTTGTAGTACAGAGGTACAAACCAACATTTTCAAGAAGTGTGGGGATGCAAGTATCTCATTTGTTACTCATAGAATAGCTTGGGTTGGAAGGAACCTTCAAAGCTCATCTAGTCCAATTCCTTTGCAGTGAGCAGGGACATCTTCAACTACATCAGATTGCACAGAACCACATCCAGCCAGGCACTGAATGTCTCCAGGGATGGTGCATCCACCACCTCCCTGGGCATTGTAAACTATTTCTTACTCAAGTCCAGCCTGACTGTCCCCTCTTTTAGTTGAAAACCGTCACCCCTCGTCCTGTCGCCACAGGCCCTGATGAAAAGTCTCTCCTCATCTTTCTTACAGGCCCCTTCTAAATACTGAAATGGAAGTGCAGCAAATACTTAGGTGCATATCATGGTGCGTGTGTTACTGTAGTGCTGGCTGTGCTCACCCAGAGGGTCTCCACAATGAGCTCCTCAGACCCTGCATGGAGAGCACAGTGGTGTGTGACATGGCACTGGGGTGGGACGCAGCTCTCCTTGGAGAGCCTTGCCAGGATAGAAGCTTCACTCTGGCAGGGAAGGCCAGCCACTGGCAACAAAGGCGAGGTATCAGAGAAGTTATCCAGAAGACAGCTTCAGGACTTCTTGGTTAACCCGGCTAGTGAAATGCTGCCCCAGGACGAGCGAGAAGCACCCTGGCATGCCCCAAGCACCATCGCTGGGGTTGTGCTGGGTATGAAATCCCTCCATGAGACCGCCAAGTAGCAGCCCTCACAAACTGCCAGCAAATTCTCTGTTTTCATTGCTTTAAACTCCCAGGCTTGCTGGAGCTGTCTCTCCTATGAGAGTGTCCGGTGTGTATCCAAGCTCAGTCACACCCTCACCAAACCCTTTCTTACCTCCCATTTGGTAACTGGTGCCTTCCCTGCTGGCTTGAGAAGTCCCAGCCTGTCAGCCAGGACGTGCTGACTCCAGCTTCAGTGCTACATGTTCCCAAGACATGCATCATTCCAAGGGGCCATATGTTTTGGTTTTGCTGTTTAACCAGTCCCAGGATACTGGTACAGCTTTTCCACATGCTGGGTTTGAGCAGGCCTGGAGGCAAAACAGGGCAAACCTTTTGGGATCTTGTGGACTAGTGATCATCCAGGCAATGGTTGAGTTTCCTTGGGGCTTCCTTCCTAAGAGAGGCAAACTGGTTTAATAAGAGGTGCCTGTGTGAGGGCAGATTGAAGCCTTTTACCTACCAGTCTGCTACCAGTTTGCCAATTGTGATTTTAATCCCTCCAGAAGATTTCTGTCCCTCTTCAACACAAACATTTTCTTCATAGCTTCAAGACAAACCATGATTATAGATCACCCTGTGTCTTTGCCGTACTAGAAATCTGCCTTTCCCAATGCATTATACAAATGCCAGTATTTGCAGTAAAAATTCTGCAGTAATAAATAACATACCTCTTTATCACAGTTTGCAAAGCTAAGGTTCAGTTTCGCTGCCCTGCAGCAGGAGGGTGTTTCATCTTCCATACCTCACCGAGTAATTAAATGTGGATGAAATCTTGTGCAGATGGGAGGTTTCCAAACGCACGGATCTCCTTGTCCTTCTTCCCTCGGGAAGTTAATAATAATATTAATTAGGTGCTTCGCCACAAGCTTTCTTTCCTCTGACTGAGAGGTCCCTGCTCCTTGGGTGTGAGTAGCTACCTGTCAGATTTACCTTACATATCAAGCACGTAAAAGAAGCATACAGGGCTGCAGCACAGGATAAAACTGTAAGCTGCATAGGGATATTGCAAAAATGCAGGCAGGGTATTTTGAACAGTTAAATTACTTGTGGGAAATTAAATTGCGGCATCACTAATTGTGGATTGTTTCAAACCCCACAAACTGCACAGAAGGCTCAGACTTTCTCTTCGGTGCAGGGGGCTGGAGCTGGATGAGCTTTAAGGTCGCTTCCACCCAAACCAGTCTGTGCTTCTGTGGTTCCATGATTACAGACGAACGTGTTTTACCCCTCGGGGTTGACACGGCGAGGCCTGACCCGCCGCGACGCGGCCTGGAAGCCCCAGGAGTCGCCCCGAGCGCTCCGCTCCTCCCGCCGCCTCCGGCAGCGCCTCCTCCGGGCACCGCCCCGCTGCCATCCCCACACGAAGGCCGCAGCCCGCCGGCGGGCCGGGCCGCCATGCCCGGTGAGTGTGGGGCGGGGAGGGCCGGGGGCGGTAGCGGGGCCGCCGGGGCGAGAGGGGGCCGGTCGCTGAGGCGGCGGCGCTGCCCCCGCGGGGCTGCGGCTGGAGGCAGTGATGGGCAGGGTTTGGTGCCGCCAGCGGCCCGTGCTCGGTCCGTCAGCGCGGCAGCTCCGAGGCGAGTCTGTAACGGCGTGGTCACGGCCTGCCGGTGGGCCCCGGGTAGGCGAGCGGCCCCACGCGGGCGGTAGCGCGGAGGAACCCGGCCCTGCAGCCCTCGGCATCGTCGCCGGGTGTGGACCGCGCTGCGGAGCCACGCGTCCCGGGCGGGCCCCCGGCACGGCGGTGTGTGCCGCGGCAGCGGGCGGGAGCCGGTCCCCGGGTTCTGAGGCCCGCGAGCCCGATTCGGGGGTGTGTGTGTAACAGAGCGAGAGCGTTACCCACCGGGGCAGGGGTGGAGGTAACAGATCACAGAATCACGGCCTGGTTTGTGTTGGAAGGGACCTTAAAGCTTCTCCAGCTCCAACCCCTGCCACGGGCAGGGACACCTTCCACTAGAGCAGCTTGCTCCAAGCCCCTGTGTCCAACCTGGCCTTGAACACTGCCAGGGATGGGGCAGCCACAGCTTCTCTGGGCACCCTGTGCCAGCGCCTCAGCACCCTCACAGGGAAGAGCTTCTGCCTAAGAGCTCATCTCAGTCTCCCCTCTGGAGGTTAAAGCCATTCCCCTTGGCCTGTCCCTACATCCCTTGTCCCAAGCCCCTCTCCAGGTTTCCTGCAGCCCCTTCAGGCACTGGAGCTGCTCTCAGGTCTCCCCTTCAGGAGCCTTCTCTTCTCCAGGCTGCCCCAGCCCAGCTCTCTCAGCCTGGCTCCAGAGCAGAGCTGCTCCAGCCCTCGCAGCATCTCCACGGCCTCCTCTGGGCTCTCTCCAACAGCTCCACGTCCCTCCTGTGCTGCTGCCCCAGAGCTGGATCAGGACTGCAGGGGGGTCTCCCCAAAGCACAGCAGAGGGGCAGGATCCCCTCCCTGAGCTGCTGCTCACGCTCTGGGGGTGCAGCCCGGCACACGGGGGGGTTCTGGGCTCAAGCGCACCCTGAATCTGGGTCATGGAGAGCTTCTCATCACCCAGCACCCCCAGGTCGTCCTCAGAGCTGCCTTTGTACAAAGCTCAGAAGACTGGGAATGCCTGTAAGCAAATGTCACATTCTAGTATCAAGAGCATTTTAATATTTTGCTCAGTCTTTTATTATTTTTTTCTATTTTGAGAAGGTATTTTTGGTAAAGATGAGTTACAGAACTCTGCAGCTACCTGAAAGGAGGTTGCAGCAAGGTGGTGGTAGGTCTCTTTTCCCAAGTAACAAGCGATAGGATGAGGGAAAATGGCTTTAAGTTGCACCAGAAAGGTTTAAACTGGAGATTAGGGAAAATTTCTTCACCAAAAGAGCTCTCAGCCATTGGAACAGGCTGCCCAGGGCAGTGGTTGAGTCACCATCCTTGGAAGCGTTCAGAAACCGTGTAGATGTGCTTGAGACATGGTTTAGTTGTGGACTTGGCAGTGCTGAGTTGATGGTTAACAGTTGGACTGGATGACCTTAAAGGTCTTTTCCAATTTAAACAATTTGTGTTTCTGTGATGTGCTGTCAGAGACTTGACTTCTGGTTCCTGAGTTGCTGGTAGCACCAGCATGTGGCAGTGGGTGAGTGCAGCCAGGGTGGGGACGCATTGTCTTTCACCTCTGTATCACTGCTTCCAGGCCAGAGGAGCAGACCAGCTGCTGTTATCTAGGGTGCATTTGGTAATCAGTGCAATCTGATCATCTCAGACCATTTCTCTGCAGGCAGATTATTTTTTAAATCCTCAGCATCCCTTTCCTGGGCTCTTGAAAGGGAAAAGCCAAAAATTAAATTTATGTTAAGGTAACATTTTGTTGAGAGAGACTTTTTTAAGCTCTTACCTGAGAGGCTTCAGCAAGGAGTTTGCATGGACACATACAAATGGCAGGTCATGTGCTTTCAAGGTCAATTTACCTTTATAAAGTTAATGAAAATCATCTAGGAGCTTTACAGGAAGCCAAAGCTTGTGTTTGCATAGCACAGCACATACCACTGAGGCTTCTGGAATGGAGTTTTGCAAATTATGTGTGGTGTTACGGAGAATAGAGAGATGTCAGAGAGATGTGTTGGGGTTTGTGTCTGTTGTGTTTGAATTTATCAGCTTGTGATGATCCTGTTTGCTTGGCAAATTGAAGGAGGCTTTTACAGGGAGCCTTAATTCCATGAGCAGAATATATTTTGTCAGCCTTAGTGTAGAGGCTGGGTCATTCTTCAGCCCTTGCCAGAAACCTAATTGCCTGTTTGGAAAGAACAATTGAGATGTGTCATTATCTGAAGGGCTGCAGTGAGGGTGATTTTTGCCTGCAGGTAAAAAATGATGTGTGTTGCTTTGCTGCTGTCACTTGCTGCTTGCACTTTCATTATCCTTGATTTTATGGATTTTATTCTGTCTGAGGAGCAGCTGGCTACAAATAACCAGTAATCACTTGCTTTTCTCTAATATCTCTTAATTATACATGTACTTCCTTTCCTTCCATGTGTGGTCAGGTGCAGGCTGTGTATGTCAGCGCGGTGTGCATGTGCTGTATGCCAGAGGCCTTCTGTACTTCGGGTAAGAGAAAAAGCGGTCGTGTATGAGGTGTGACGGGCTTGTAGTAATTGTAAGTCAATAGCATGGAATTATTAGTCATGTTTTCCTCGTGGCTGTCGAAGGCTGTTTGAGTTTCCTGTCTCTTTCACAAGTTTACAGTTCCTCTTAGTAAGGAAAATACTGACATTTTTTTTAAGCTTAAGTGGCATTGTATCCAACCTCAGCTGTATTTGCTGCTTCTCTTACTGAGCTCAGTCCAACCCCAACCCTTCAACTCCTCGACTGCAGCTGCATGTTTGAGAAGACCTGCAGCTGCATCCGAAACATGTGGACAGGATTAAGCCCTGTTAAGTTGTTCTGACAGAGGAGAGTGTGCAACTGGAGTAACATCAAATGACAAATTTGGAGTTAGATACTACCCATGTGCAGTCTGGGGGTATAAATAATCATAGAATCACAGAACCACAGACTGGTTTAGGTTGGAAGGGACCTCATCCAGTTCCAACCCCCTTCCAGCACCTTCCACTAGAGCAGGTTGCTCCAAGCCCCTGTGTCCAACCTGGCCTTGAACACTGCCAGGGATGGGGCAGCCACAGCTTCTCTGGGCACCCTGTGCCAGCGCCTCAGCACCCTCACAGGGAAGAGCTTCTGCCTAAGAGCTCATCTCAGTCTCCCCTCTGGCAGGTTAATGCCATTCCCCTTGTCCTAGCACTACGTGCCCTTGTAATCTCTGATGCCCTAATGCCTGACAGTGTCATGCTTGTACTGTAAGCTGTGGTTAATCAACCTTGTCTTCCAGTACTGCTGTTCTGAACTTTCTAGGCAAATGCTGGCTGCCAGCACCACTGTCCTTTTAATAGCGGGGTGACTCATGCTTGGAAACAAAGTCTTCTTAATGTAAAGATTTCACATTTTCCTTGCAATAACTGTTGTCTCTATGAGGCAGTGAGATAAAAGGAGAAGGAGAAAAAAGATGTGTAATTGCTAAGCACCTCAATCATATACCTCCCAAAGTATAAAGGTGGTGACCACACTGGGAACATAAGCCAGAAGAATTAGTAAATATGCAAACTTCCTAAACAGCCACTCCCTCGATTCTTAAGTTGTGGCAGCACATCGAGTAATCTTGATGCAGTTGTGAAGCTGCCTTGTTTGGGGTTTCTCTTACTTTAAAACATAAATAATGGGCATGTTCAATACTAAAAAACTGCTGTGATTATAAAACCTCATGGCATGGTTATGTTTGTATGCCTGTAACCAAGCCGTGGCTGGCAGTGCTTTGGAGCAAGTCTGCCATAACAAAGGTGCTGAAGCTCCTGGGGCAGGCTGTGCCTGAGATCATCATGTGGCGGCTTCAGATGTGCACATGTGCTTTCCAGATATGCTTATCTCTCCAGAGCAGGGTCCACGATCCAGCCACCAGGATTGGTGGGGCTTTTTTGTTTGTTTTCTTTAAGTTTAGTAGCTGAGGCACAATTCTGCGCTGGTGTCGATGGGAATGTTCTCTCCCCTGGTTTGCCAGAAGGCAGTCCCTTGTGTGGTTTGAGCAGAGATTTCTCAGAGGAGAGACTAAAGATTTCAGAAGAGAGAGGTGAGATTCTGATGAGAAAATGAACATGAGCCCACCGTGTGTGCTCGCAGCCCAGAAAGCCAACCATATCCTGGGCTGCATCAAAAGGAGCGTGGCCAGCAGGTCGAAGGAGGTGATCCTGCCCCTCTGCTCTGCTCTTGTGAGACCTCACCTGGGGTATTGTGTGCAGTTCTGGTGTCCTCAACATAAAAATGACATGGAAATGTTGGAACAAATCCAGAGAAGGGCAACGAGGATGATCAGGGGACTGGAGCACTTCCCATATGGAGATAGGCTGAGAAAGTTGGGGCTGTTCAGCCTGGAGAAGAGAAGGCTGCGTGGAGACCTCAGAGCAGCCTTCCAGTATCTGAAGGGGGCCTATAGGGATGCTGGGGAGGGACTCTTCATTAGGGATTGTAGTGACAGGAGAAGGGGTAACGGGTTAAAACTTAAACAGGGGAAGTTTAGATTGGATATAAGGAAGAAGTTCTTTCCTGTAAGGGTGGTGAGGCACTGGAATGGGTTGCCCAGGGAGGTTGTGAATGCTCCATCCCTGGCAGTGTTCAAGGCCAGGTTGGACAGAGCCTTGGGTGGCACTGTTTAGTGTGAGGTGTCCCTGGCCATGGCAGGGGGGGTTGGAACTTGATGATCTTAAGGTCCTTTCCAACCCTAACTATTCTATGATTCTGTACTTGAAGGGTGAGACACTTCTGCTGTACTTTGATTGAGCTTGTGTTGAGCTTGAGGAATGCTCTTCTGGCAGTTTTAAACCTTGCACCCCATCCTAAATACTTAAGTAATTTGGAGGAGGTGAAAATGCAGGCAGGCAAAATGTGACTGTGGGAATGTGGAAGAAGCATACTTCTTAAAAACAGAGCATCCCATAGGATGGGAGAAGTTTCTTGCAAATGCCTGAGCCAGGCGTAAGACCTATCCATGGCAGGCACAGTTTAGCAGTAGGCAGAGGGGCCAAGAGCATCGTCTCATTCTCCTCTCCTGCCTTTTGGCTTAGATGGGAAGAAAACACAGCCAGTCCTGAAATCCCAGAGAGGCTTCTGCCCCATTAGACGAGCAGTGGGAGCCAGGTTTCAGATGGCAGCACAAAGCCCTCAGTAAGACTGGTGGTGGTGTAATGAGCGTGTGTAAATGAAAGTGCCACGAGGACATGGAGTGCTTCTCACTGCTCAGAAGATGTTCTTGGATAATTGTGATCTTCAGTTGTCACAGCTAACTTCACTGCTGTAATTAACGCTTGTGCACACTGCCTGTGTGGGGATCAGTAATGACAAGGCAGCAGCAAAGCAAGAACCAGGGAAGGAGATGACCCTTTGAGCCTGCTTTTATTTTATTTTGTATACTCCTCCTGCCAGAATTTTGTCACGGTTTCAGCACTTGCTGGGGTTCTTTATCTGAAGTTTAATTGCTCTGCTAGCTATAAGTCCCTGGTTTAGTGCACTTTCTTTGTGAGTTTGCTGAAGGTACAGTGTTGTTGGTGACACTGAGAATCACTGCAAGTCATGTAGCAGATAGAGCAGAAGGAGGAGGAAGTTGCAGGGACATGAACAGACTCAAGTGCACAGTTTCCTCGTCCTTGACACAGCCTCTTGTGTATGCTAATGTGTTGATTTGAAGAGAAGTTTGATCTCAACCTTGAATCAGACGACATGGAACTTCTTGCAACAAAAGGGGGTTGCACAGCAAGTATGTCAGAGCAGGATATTTCTGACAGTACACAAAAAAGCTGCCCTGACAGTGAGCTGTTGAAAAGTGAGGCATTAGAAATAATGGAAATAATATGATGTTTGTATAAAAAGTAAGAATTTATCTGAAATGCTGTTGTGCCTGTAGAATCACAGCTCTCTTAGAGTATCAATAGCTGTGTGTTCTTGTTTGAATAGCGGTGACACTGGCACTGGAGAAGTTACTAGTGCATGATGGTCATAGTGGGAGGTTGTCCTGAGAACTTTCCTGTAAATACTGTTAGTGCTACAGAGATACAGAAAAAGGACAGTGTAATACAGAAAACCCCCAAACACGGTACAGAAAGGGCAAGGGCTGTGCACAGGTGCAGTGCATCATGGCAGTTTCCTGACTCTTCTCCTTCATTCTTTCCTTTATCTTCTGTAAATTGCAGGGCACAAAGAGCTGATGGTTGTGTTATTTTCTGATAGCCAAAATACCACAAACCTGTGCATTTGTTTTACCTGGGGAATGTGCTGAGGGTGCGGGTGTGGTTTGGTTTGGTTTTCGATGCTGCTGGGTTATAAAGTGGTGTATTGTCATTTTAACACTTACTTCAGACAGGGTCATGGACACTCCCTTTCTAAATCTGATAAAGGCACAGTTACCTGTGGAACCAGTCTGTCCCTGTCTTAATCTAGGCACTATAAACAAGGAGCTATAGGGAAAGCTATGCCGCTGCAAAATCCATTGCTGTTGAATTGGAAAGGGTCCCTGAAACAACAGCATTTCTGGATTTCTGTATTTGCAGAGATTTGGGTTGATAGAGAAAGATGTATTTTAACTGTATGTTTATTTGAATGTATGTCCATGGCAAAAATGTATTGCTTTTGGACTGCCTTTTCTCCCCGCTCTTGTAAGAAGTTAAGGCAGATGTCCTTTCCTAAAAAGCTGGATGGCTCTTTGGAAGAGATGCTGTTCCTGATCTTCCAGTTCTGTTTCAGTGTCTGGTTTCATATTTACATCAAAAAATTTATAAGACACATTACTTTAAACCTCCATAATCTGACTCCATAAATGAGAGAAGGTACATCTTCAGTGATTTAACAACTTTAGGGCTGTATTTGATTAAATATTCCATAATCTGCCTCCATAAATGATAGAAGGTACATCTTCAGTGATTTAACAACTTTAGGGCTGTATTTGATTAAATATTCCATCATCAGTGCTTGACACCTAAATAGTTCAGAACCTTCTCTTTGGACAGGGAGAGCAGCATAAGTGACCAGCCAGGAATTCAGATGTATGCCATTTTAAGTGGATGGGTTTTTGAAAGCGCATGGCTATCTTCTGGTTCCCTAACAGATAATTCAGCTTTCTAAAATTATGTGATGGTGGTAATTTTTTTTAGCTATTTAACCAGTGTTAGGAAAATTACATGTACAGAATTAAAAAATGGCTTGCTAACTAACTGCTGTGGTTTGTTATTTTATCTCCAGATCAATCGTATTGTCATCGGCTGCAGCACGATGTGTACTTTCTTACAAGCAATAGCCGACTGAATGAGCAAGTAGTTGATAAAATTATTCTTCAGCTTAACAGAGTCTACCCCCAAATTCTTACCAATGCAGAAGCAGAAAAGGTAAATTGATGGATTTTACTGTATCTCTGAATGTTGCATTGTTTTTGCGGGTCAGTAGCTCAGCTGCCCTCTTTCCAGCTTGACTCTTGGTCCCACATGCAGCCAATCTTCCTCACCGAATTACAGAATCATAGGATAGTTAGGGTTGGAAAGGACCTTAGGATCACATAGTTCCAACCCCCCTGACATGGGCAGGGACACATCACACTAAACCACATAACTCAAGATCCATCCAACCTGGCCTCACTTCTTACTTGCTGACCAGCTGTATCTGGCATCTCATATGAGAGAAGTCATGGGGCTGACATATTCCCTGTGCCAAGGTGTTATGAGAGAGGGCACTCTCTTCATCAGTAATTTAATGCCACAGTTCCAGCCATGATGACTGACACTGTGTGTGCAGAAGCACGCTATCTTATAATCACTCTGTGTCAGGATTGCACCCATCGGGCGACTAAATGCTCTGCATGCCTACCTCCTCACAAGAGTCAGTGTGAGCCTTGTCAGATGATCTGTGCTGTATCCAGCTGTGTCCACAAAATCATCTGTATTATCTTAATCTATTTTAGTTACTGATTAATATGATTAATAACTCTAAGTAGTGATAGAGAAAGTGTGTGTAAGTGTGGGAGCTGTGGGACATGGATGGAATTAGTAACACCTTCCAGTGGTGCCACTATGTATGGAGAAAGGCCACCCTCCCTTCACTGTCTGCACAAGACTCAGGGTTTTGGCATAGCAGTATTGTAACTCTAGGAAACATAGGTCTAGCTTTGTCATAATCAAACTCCATGAGGATGAGTAGTGTTCCAGTGGTACAGAGCAGTGCTAGATCATCAGCTGAGCCAGTCTAGCCACTCAGTTAAGGTAAACAGTGTGACATGCACAGTGAGAGATCATCTCATTTCCTCAAGAGCTTAAAAAAAAAAGAAAAAGCATAAACACGTAAATCTGTGAAATGCAATCTGGGACTTCTGCATTTAGCAGATAGAAATGAATTGCTTTCACAGGGGTCCAGGGAAGTTTCTGTCAGCTGTGTTTAGTGTTTAGGAAGCTTACAATCTCAGCTGTATCCAGTACACCTTGTGGAAGTTTTGGAATTTTGTCAGAATAAGGAGTATTGTATATAAGGTATCTTTCATTTGTGTCCCCATAGAGCAGGAGTTGATCATAAGTATACTACAAAGGTTACCTGCTGTACTGGTCTGATGTACAATGCTTTGCTGAGAATGGTTTGGTCATTTTCCAGATAAGCTGAAATTGATTTGATGTGTTTTCTTTCTCATTGTAAGGTCTCCTAATACCACATTTTGGGCTACATTAAAAGGGTACTTTCTTCTGCAGCTGCTTGCCGTGTTGCCTGAGTATTGAGAATTTGTACATGTTGCAGCATTTAATTGTGCTGGAAGCAATGAAACATACAATATTGGAATAATGAACACATTAGGACAAATGCAAGCAGTATAAAACTACCTTTCTGGATGATCATTACTAGGCAAATAAGGGAAAATTTGAAACCAGAAAACTTTACTGTAAGATTTGTTAATGTTTTCTATCAACAGCTTTCAGAATCAAATTATAGAATAGCGAGCACCGTGTTAGTTTGAACACAGGGAAGACACATTCAAATGGAGAGTAACTCACTTTTATCAGGACAGAAAAAGGAATGAGGGAGGGCAGAGGCAGTATGTTCTCCATCAGGCAGTGCTAACCAAATGGAGCTCAGTGTCCTGAAGACTGCTGTATGTCCTCTTTAGGTTCCCCTCTCTTTGTGACTTGTTTTTTTAGCAAATATAAAATAAGCTCTGTATCTTCACTCCCTGGTGTACTGTAAAATGATGTGTTGTCATCTCTCTTCTTATGAGTGCTTTTCTCTTACAGTTCAGAAATCCAAAGGCATCACTCCATACCAGACTTTCAGATCTCATAAAGCACCTTCAAAAGAAAGGAGAGAGACACTGCCAAGAGTTTTACAGGGCTCTACAGATCAATGCTGAACAGCTGTATGATGACCTACCAAGCAGGAAAGTCCTCAGTAAGTTGATTCATAAGTTGATGGAGTTGTGGATTTCCTCATCGGTGTACCACGAGACCTCATTTCAGATGAGGTTTAGAGTTTTAAAATAACCTGTCTAGGTTATTTAAGTATTTTTGGGGTATACCTTAATTTCTTCTGACTGGAATTTTCCAAAAGCTGTAAGGGGATTTGACTGCATAGTTATTATTTGTTGACTAGTGTGGGCAGATCCAAATGCTTTGATTGTTTTGAAATATGAAGGATGTCTTTAAAAGAGTTTAAGTGCAACACGTAAGGCAGAAATATAGCTCTTACAAAGTACAGTTTCTCTTTTCATAACCGCTGCTTCTTAATGGCTTGTTTCCTATGTGTTTATTCTGACATGAGAACATTACAAAACTCAAATTTGTTAAGTTCAAAACTCCGGTGGCCCAGAAGCTTGGCTTTCCCTCCATCCATGTATCTCCTAGTTGTATCTAGTTTAAAGTGGAACAAACATTTCATAGGCCCTTGTCATGAATGAGCTGTGATGTTAGGCATTTAGGATTTGGTTTGTGCAGCTGACATCCGAGTGATATCCATAAACAGCGCCCCCCCAGTTATGTATGTATCTGCTTCAGGAGGACTGAGGCTCAAACAGATTTGATTCTGTACTGCAAAGGAGCTGATTTCTTCAACGGAAAGTATCCAGCCTGGCTTGCCAGGGATAATGCTTGCTATGTGTTGGTGTTTCGTGGTTGGTTTGGTTTTGTTTCCTGCCACTCCAGCCTGATGAACTTGAGAAAAGCACAATGTTCCAAATGGATGGGAAATGCGTTCGGGCATCTTGCATACTGAAGTGACTTAAGGAGCTTGAGGGAAAGCTCCCACATTTCAGTTAATGAAGCTGCAAAGGGACTGCAGTTTAAGAAATCCTTATAAAGTATCTAACAGCTCTAATATTTCACCGGTCGCTTGATTTCTAGTTGTAAGAAAATTCACAGTTAGGTGCCAGGGGCTATTTCAGACATGTAGGTCAAAAACTCCATTGAGATTCAAACCTTTACACCAAAAGTCCATAGGTTAGACCTCTTTTGTTTCTGGAGTGAAAATGACATGTAAATTGTACTTACCTTTGAAGATACGCATTGTCTAGCTTCATTTCGCCTTTCATTTTGAAGGAAGGGGTTTGTTTCTACTCAGTACAGAAACATACCAGTAGAAGACTGCACCATTGTTGTCCTGCTTGCACAGGGAGGCTGCAAAGTTACCTAGGTCTCCAGATCCGTACGTGAACTTTCTTGAACTGGGAAAGTTGGGCCCATCTCTGTCTTAGACTCTCAGATGAACGTGAATCCCAGTTGATTCAGCCTTGCAGCAGCTTTGAGATAGTGCCTTTGATCTGATACTCACCTTGCAGAAGTCATGCCCTTTGAGGGAGCAGGCTCTTAAATCAAATAGTCTTGGATCTATTATTTTTACCCAGGTAGAGCTCAAGAGCAACAAGTTTGTCTGCCAGCCTGACTAGAAGGCAGCAGACAGCCTTTATTAATTAAAAGCAACTTAGCAATCTTAGTGTAGTCACTAAGAATGGAACTTCAAGAGTGTGTTGATTGTGTAAGAGTTTAAGCCGTGTTAAATATTAAGTAATACCTTCTACAACCCATTTCTGAAAATGTGTATTAGCATACTGGGATGCAGTAGCCAAAGCCTGACTACATCCCGTATAGATGGTCTGAATTCAGCTGAGTACTAGAAATAGCATAGCTGTGACCATGTTGATCTGCATGTTGTTACACTCCCTTATGTTCATCAGAACAATAAGAATTATTTAAATAACTGAGTGAAAATATGTGCTGAGATTCTGCAGTTTCCTCATATTGACCTGAGGAGGAAATAATGAAATGATTGTGTTAATGTTTGTAGCTAAAACAGATGTCTGCATTCTGGGTTGAATGGTCAATAAATGTGCAGCATTTTAAGCTGAATTATTAGTCAAATGTAGCAGAGAATTGCTATAAAATTGACACTAGAATTTGCAAGTGTGAAGAAAAAAGGGAATCCCTAACATGGGAACTTTGTTCTAAATGCAAATTGAAGTGAAATAAGCAGCTTTATGAAACCTAGGAAAATTATTGGTGAGGACACTGATGATGTTCCTGGAGTTTTCTCTGAATCAGTTATGGCCAGGACAGAGTTCTGTAATAGGTTACATGCAGGTATATATATGAAAAATATCTTTCAGAGGAAATCCTTTCAAAGGTCATAGAATCCCAGACTGGTTTGGGTTGGTAGGGGCCTTAAAGTTCATCCAGCTCCAACCCCTGCCACGGGCAGGGACACCTTCCACTAGAGCAGCTTGCTCCAAGCCCCTGTGTCCAACCTGGCCTTGAACACTGCCAGGGATGGGGCAGCCACAGCTTCTCTGGGCACCCTGTGCCAGCGCCTCAGCACCCTCACAGGGAAGAGCTTCTGCCTAAGAGCTCATCTCAGTCTCCCCTCTGGAGGTTAAAGCCATTCCCCTTGGGCTGTCCCTACAGGACCTTGTCCAAAGCCCCTCTCCAGGTTTCCTGCAGCCCCTTTAGGTGTTGGATTTATTTTTAATTTTTTTAAAACAACTTTAAAATTTGTGCTAAAACAAAATTTCTTTGCCTTCAGTTTAATATAGTGCAAGTGAAGTGTTGAGTAATCTCTCAGAATTCCACTAGAGGGTGGGTAAGGCCCATGACATGGGCAGCTTCCAAGCTGCTGGAGCCAAACAGGATCATCCGGGTGACTCAGAAAGTGTTTTTATTTCTGTCAGTGTTGACATAGACTAGAAAGGTTAGCCCCACATCGATAGCCTACAAAGTGGAGAGATTTGGCTGTGCTGTGAAGTGTGAAGATTTCTTAGCTGAAGTACATAGGGAGGCCATCCCTCAAAACAGGTAGGATGTGTAGGGTTGCCATTGATCTCGGGTGTGCTGTGGAAGCTTTGCATCAATTCTTTCCCCTTCAGTGAGTCTCAACCTCTGCAGCAAAGTGCCTTAGGTGTTTCTGTTCTGCTTGAGCACCATGTCTCTCATCCCCTGAGGGGGCTCGTTTAGCATGGGAGGTAGATGTTCACCACCAGCTTGGCTGGCAGCAGGTCCCCTGTGCTGACTTGGTGTTTTCCAAGGCCCCTTTCCTAGCTCCAGATTGTCATGTAAAAGAAGGAGATGGTTGACCCCAAACAGTCTCAAATTCTGCCCTGTTGACTGCCAGATTTGCAGTTCTCACTTCCTAGCTTTTTTTTTTTTAAATCCTATTGACCACAAAGAGGCTTGGCTCAAAAAGTTGTTGTGCAGAGTCATGATGCATTAAAGGAAAATCATTCCTCTACTATTTATGGGGACAGCGGTGTTCTTCAGTGTTGCTGTGCAACATTCTGCAAGTAATGTTATTTCCACATCTATATGGCAAGGGCACCTCTAAAAAAGCTGCACGTCTTTCTGCCCAAATCAGAAACTCCTTTGTTGCTGCTAACCAGTGAACACCTTGTCTTAAGGTCAACCTCCTTTTCTACTAGAATTTGCACAAAGATAGAGGCAAAAATTATCTGCACCTAGAGCCTGCAGACTTTCAAAGATGCTGAATGTGTCTTTAGCCAAACCCAGAATTTAGATCAGTAATCTGCACCAAGCATTTTGTTCCAAGTGCTGCTTTATCTGCCAGATACATCAATGCCCAGAGATTTACTCAAGAACAGAAAGAATGGCAATGTATTAAGTTACAAGGGTGTTTTCAGATTAGCAATATTAACAATTCATTTGTATTTATTACAATGAAATTTCCTGGCATTCTGGAAGGATTGGCTCCTATTTTCCTCATTTGGGAAACAAGTGTAATGTTACTTATGTGGTTAGTGCTTAACCAGATCCAAGGTGCTGCTGCAGCTTTTTACAGTTGTATTCAAATGACTGTATGCCTGTATCTTTTGATCAGCGTATATCCAGATTTAACTTTAGCGATCATCTGCCATTGAAGGGGCTTATATTTTATGTCCAAATTGGGTATTTTTCTGAAATGTGTTGTTTTGCACTGTTTTGCATGTACTGATTATGTTTGTTTGTTTGCTTAAGCCAAGTACTAACTTTTCATGTGTTGCTTTTATTTCTAGAAACCACAGATTCCACAGAGATAGACACTGACAAGGAGAAATATATGCTAAATGACAGGGGTAAATAAATGCAAACAGTGTCGCCGGATGGAATGGCTTTTCAGATTATGATGCAATTTATTTTATCATGTAATTTGCATTTCATGTAACTGTTTGTTTTATGATGTCTTTACTGTCATATGTTAAGTGGAAGTAATGGAGGAAAATGTACTGAACTGCAGTTGTGGAAACCAACGCCAGGAAATTCAAGAGACTGTAGAGCTTAATCAATATTTACTGTTATAGCTGAACTCATAATTTTCTATGATTTCTTCAAGACTTGAACATCAAGGTCTATTCAGCTGCTGCTGCTAAAATTTTTCATGAGGCCATCAGTAATTTTTTTATGTAACTTTAAACATTTTTAATTTTTTTAAGCTTTCAATATAATTAAAAATCATTTGAAAACAAAGATAGGAAGATGAGCAAGGGTGAACTTAAGCATATTTTCCTTAGGAAAACATGTTAATTTTTTTCCCCTTCTGTTCAATGTGCAGATTATAGAGGCAAATGTTTTATTCGCTGAAAAATATTTTGAAAAGGAATTGAACTTCTGAAAGAACGTGGGAGAATTTTCCAAATGTATAGTGACCAGTTTTGTCATTGAAGTTTAATTGGTGTTTATTTAGTAATTTGGATACAATTATGAGAGACTAAAAGCACCTTCTATGCACTTTTTTTTTCTGTTTTCCCCAAGATAAAACTGAAAAAAAGGGGCAGAAAAACAGTAACTCAGTGTATATTTTTTGCCTGTGTTGTGGTTGCTTTGAATATTGAACCAAACTGCTATTCAGATTTTTCACATTGCTACTGCTGACTGCAACATAACATTACAGGAGGAACAGAGAAAGTACCTGAGAAT